CTGCTCGTAAGCCGGCAGCTTGGCATCGTACGGCGCCCCGCCGCCGCCGCCCCTTTTAGCGTCGTCGTAGTGGGGCGCGGAGCGGTGCAGGTCCGCCTGCGACTCGCGCGGCGACGGCGAGGCCACCGTGGACCGATGGCCGTCGGCGTAAAAGTTGCTCGTCGACGATCCGGCGTCGCTGCGCACCTCGGCCAGCTCGTCGAGGCTCTTGGCGTGCTTCTTCTTGGTGCGCTGCTTCTGGATGCTCTTGACGGCGCCCCTCGTCGGCAGCACCAGCAGGTCCAGGCTGCCCGCCGTCAGCTTGACGGGCACATTGACGATGCCAATCGCCAGCCCCTTTGCCGCACCCAGCGCCCCTTCCTTCATGCCCAGCTCGACGGGCTTGGTCACCATGTCGGTGATGGCGCCCCACGAGTTGAGCCCCCACGACTTGAAGCCTTCCTTTGCGCCAGACTTGATGCCCGTGATCTTGCCCGGCGGCTTAAACGTCGGGTCGTACAGGCGCTGCGTCCGTGCCAGGCACGTCGACAGGTCGTTGAGCACGTGGATCGCCCCTGCTCGCGCCGGGCGACAGGGAGGAGGGAGGAGAGAGGAGGGAGGCGGGCAGGCGGGCAGCGGCCGAGCAGGCGACAGACAGGAAGCGGTGTGTCAGCGGCAAGGAACCGATCGCATCGCAAGTCGAGGAAGGGACCGCAGGGGGTGGGATCGCCCCGCAGCCCACTAGACACGGCAACCCACCTTTCGACGGTTCGGCCACGAGTCCGCCGAGGCCCTTGCCGACGCCGCGGACCAGGTGGCCCTGCTTGTAGCCCTCGATCGGATGCCGGATGCTTCCGGCAAAGCCCTGCGAGGACCGCGGTCGAGAGATGAGGGTGGAAAAGGGGTTGCGTGCGACGCCATGCGATACGACCGGGTCAGCCTCCGCCGCTCCCCGGCACAGGATCTCACCGCCATTGCGACCGGGCGCGCCCAGAGGCCCCGGCCCCGCACTCACCGCGTAGATGCTCTCGGCCGCCTTGCCGACAAAGTTGAAGCTGCCCTGGATCTCGTCGACCAGGTCGAACCTCTTGACCGCAACCTCTTGCAGATCGGCCTGCGAGACGCGCCCATGGGCCGTCAGGGTGGCCGCCTCGAGGCCGGACAGCTTGAGGCCCGTCGGAGCGTGGATGTACTGAGCCCGGAGGCGGCTGCCCAGGTCGCTGGGCTGGATGTCGGCGGGCAGGTGCCGCAGGAAGCTCTGCACCGCCGCTTCCGACCCGTCCTCCTGGGCGATGGCATCGCGCAGCCGGCCCGCGGCCTGGCGCGTCGGGTCCTGGGCAAGCGTGGCGAGGGCCTCCTCGAGGAAGCTGAGCGAGGCGTCCTTGGCCGGGATCGAGATGGGCCCGGCGCCGGCGTTGTACACGACCTGGCCCCAGAACGACTGGTCGCCGAAAAACGACAGGATCAGGGTGGGCAGGCCGTACCGCAGGCCCATCGACGTCGTCCCGGCACCGCCGTGGTGGATGACGGCCGAGCAGCGCGGAAACAGCCTGCATTGCGGCACGCCGAGGCGGACGAGGACACATCGGGTCAGCCGCAGCAAAGGCACCCGGAGCGGACGGCGACGGCAGACTCACCAGTCGTGCGGGCACTCCTTGATCACCATGACATCGTGGCTGCTCGGCAGCTGCAGGTCCGTCCAGCCCTGGCACACAATCACCCGGTGGCCGCCGCGAGCCGCCGCCTGCAGGATGATCGAATAGAGGTGTTTCATGTCGAACCCGACAATCGAGCCGAAACCCTGCATTGCCGCAACGACGCCGAAGAAGGAGGAGGGCGGGGAAGGACGGGGGGGGGGGGGGGCACGGGGCGGTCGGACGTGTCGAGAGCGTGAGCTGCCATCGTTCGCTCGCATGTAACGCGCGCGCGCACAGCCCCAGGGGCGGAATTGCGGCAAAGGAAAAGGGCCCATGCGGATGCTCACCACATAGATCGGGGCGGGGCCCTCGCGCAGGAAGCGCTCGAGGTCATCCGACGGCTCGTAGTCGGAGTTACTGGTCGATGAGTTTTCAAAGCTGAAGCCGACGACGTCTGCGCGTGCGTGCGCGCGGGACGCAAGGGATACGAGGAAGCCGGGTGGCCGGGAGAGGGCGAGGGAGGGGAGGGGGAGGGAGCACCGTCAGCGTCGGTCCACATGAACCGGCCTGCTGGCCCGTCCGGGCGGTCGCGGCTCACCGATCCAGTCGCCCCAGTCCTTGGGCTTGGGCAGCAGGCTGGGGCTGAAGCAATACGTGTGCGGCACGGCGTCGCTGTTGATCGTCTTGGAGATCTTAACAAAGCTGCTCTCGGGCTGCTGCAGCTGCTTGCGCTTCTTTCCAATGAGGTCCGCGTAGCCCAGCCAGGTGAGCCGGGCGACGGCGTCGTAGCTGAGCCGGTTGCGCCTCAGCTGGGCGTCGCCCTTGACGCTGCCGACCGTGGTGAAGGGGTGCGCAAACGCAGACGTCTTTGACCACGGCATGCTGGCGGGCGGCGCAAGGGAGCAGGGAAGCGGGAGGGAAAAGGGGGGGCAGGCAGGGAAAGGGGTTCAACATGCTGCGCGCCCGACCACCGCCGCGCCGGCAGCGACACTCACGTAAACATGATGTTGAGCGGCACGTTGAAGATCTCGGCGCAGTGGAGCGAGGCAAAGCTGGGCGGGTTGGCGATGATGGCGTCGGCCACGAACGGCAGCCCGGTGTCCTCGTTGGGCTCGCGGCAGCTGGCAAAGGCGCCGTCGATGAGCTCGGCCAGCTCGTGCCGGTTGGCCTGGATGTCGCCCGCGGCGACCGACGAGACCGACGGGATCAGGCCGCCGTTCTTGACCATGAAGGCCATCAGCTTTTCGGGGTCCGCGCCCAGGTTGAAAAACTCGATGCTGCCGCCCTGGCCTTCCTCGATGCTGCGGGCGGCGGCGCGGCGCAGGACGAGCGGCTTGAACTTGGCGTGCGTGGCGATGCGGACGCGGTGGCCGCGGCAGGCCAGCTTCTCGGCGATGGGGAGGAAGGGCGCGACGTCGCCCCGCGATCCGACAATGTGGATGACGATGCTCAGCCGCGGCACCGCATCGTCGACGGCGCCCAGCGAGAGCGCAGAGAGCTGCGGGATGGCCGGCAGCGGCTTCTCGTCCTGCAGCAGGTCGGTGCGGATCGCATGGCTGGCGTAGGCCGGCGGAGACTCTTCAAAGTGGGCCCGGGCCGACGACGACCACGACGACGAGGGCCCGGCGTGCGCGTCGTCGAACGGATCCGCAGAGAGGGGCTCGTTGGGCAGAGTCAGGTCGAGCTTGCCGTGCGAGCCGAGCTCGAGCCTCGTCGCCTCTGGGCTCATGGCGCCGGGAGAGTCGAGGCTGCGCGAGGCCTCGGCGTGGGCGGCCGGCAGGGAACGTAGCTCTGCCGCCGGACCGCCTGACGAGGACCGGGCGGCAGATTTTTCCGGCGGGTAGGCCGTCCCTTGCGGCGGGCCGCGAAGCTGGGCGTGGTGGCTCTGCTCGGGCTGCTTGCCCTTGGACGCCAAGCCGGCGCTGCGCGTGGAGCTGGCGTAGGTTGGCGGGTCGGCCTGCGAGGCCCCATAGTCCGGGTTCGATCGCTTCTCCGGAGGGAAGCCCGCCGCCGACGACGACGGCGCAGCGGCTGCCGAGGGGCCAGAGCTGCTCTTGGAGTCGTCGGCAAAGGGGTCCGCGTGCACCGCATCCAGGGCGTAGGCCGCTTCGTACCCTTCGCCCTCGGGCAATGCGTGGGCTGTCGGGGCTGGCGCCTTGCCGAGCCGGGACAACGAGTCGTGATAGACCTGTTCGCAGAAGAGCCACGCATCCGCGCCGGCGCCCCAGGCGGGACCAAGGTCGACGACCGGGAGAAGCCAGGCGTTGTGGATCTGCCTCGAGTCTGCGGTGAGCCGAAAAAGGCATCGCAAAGCGACGGGACGAGGGGGTCGGTATCATTGAAGGACGGTCAGCAGAGGGTTCCCCGGGGGGCCATCGTCGACCGACCCGGTAAGAGACGGCGAGGACGAGGACGAGGGTGGAGAGGAGGCAAAGGACGCACCTGCGCGTTCGTGGCTTGGGAGAGACGTGATGATCATGCGCAGCGCGTCTGCGCACTGCTGCGAGGGCAGGCTGGTGGCTCCGATCCGATGGAGGCTGCCGCGCAGGCAGATGCCCGCCTGCGCCAGCTGGTCCTCTGCGTCGTGGCTCGGGGAGAGGCGCAGCAGGTCGGCATCGAAGAGGTCGATGGCGTTGGCCTCTTGCGAGGGCGCGTCGGCCTGGGCGGCGGACTCGATGCCCTAGGGATGGGGCAAGCCAAGCAGAAGGGGGTGCGCGATGGGCGGCGCGACGCCGGCGTCAGCTCCACGTAGATGGCAGAAGTCGAGGCACGCGGCCACGACCAGCGCGTGTGACGGCACTCACCTCGGCCGAGAGGACCAGGGCCGATTCGGAATCGACGACGAGAAAGAGGAGATCGTGGACGCCGCGCCTGCGGGCGCAGACGTAGACGGAGGCCGCTGGATGCGACATGGTCCTGCCGCCGTGCGGTGCGGTGGCGATCAAGGCCGGAGCTGTGGGTCCCGAGGCGAGGCGAGGCAAGCTTGAAAGCGGAGAGAGGCAGCTGGCTGCGGTGCGCTGCTCTTGTCCGTCTTGCGTTGCTGCGGATGGGGCGGTTGCGATGCCGACGATGGCGTGGCGGATGGTTCTCGATATCGAAGAAGGAGCAGGCAGGGGTCGTTGCGACCTCGAAGCAGGGCAGATGACAGCAATGAGGAAGGCAAAGGGGCGAGCAGGATGATGGGTTGGAAGAGAGAGATGGCAAGGAGGGAGGGAGGGATGGCGTCGAGGGTCGAGCTCAAATGCCAGCCAGCCAGCCAGCCAGCCAAGCCAGGCAGTTAGGAGCGAAGGCGGAGGCGGAGGCTGGCTGGCCAGGCCCGAGCGGCGGCGCAGGCAGAGTGCTTGAGCGCCAGCCGCCCCCAACGACTGACCGGCGCCGCCGGCCAACATGGCCTCGCCTCGACTGGCCCCATCCCCGCCTCGCTTGGC